ATATATATATATATATATATATATATATATATATGTATGTAAAAGTTGAAGTTTAGGAGTACAGATCTCTTTACCTTTTTCTTCTCTCTCTTGATTCTTAAACAACAACCAAAAAAAAAATCTAACTGCAACATAAACTCTTAAAATCAAATATTTCCCGATACCTTCTTAGGTATGTAATTTTTTTTTGTGCAAAAAATCCCCAATTTTACTCTTTCACAGATCTTCTGTACAAGTTATCAAAGGTATAGATGAGACTTTCAGGAAGGAGATTCTGAATTCAATGCGAAATATTTGATTTTACTTTTTTAGAGTTCTATACTTGCATTATCACATCCTTATTAAAAATTGTTGGGTGAGATGTGATATTAAATCGCAGAAATTGAATCGAGAGATCTGAGACAAAACCTTGAGCATAAGTGCATAAAACATGAAAATCACAAAAAATAGATTTAAAATGAAAAAAACCTTAGAACGGAAAAAAAAACTATAGAGTCACACCATACAAAGAAATATACTATGAAGAAAGTAAGAATAATCATATAAATTATACCACACTCAAACCTCTCCACATTTTGAAATAATTCGAGACTCTCCTCTCCTATCCTTGGCACAAAGAGAAATCAAAATCCAACACACTCCAATCAACAAAACATAAACTTTAAGCAGAGAATTGCTCAAATTTGGTTATTGGCGAGTGGCGCTGCAATAGTGGATTGAGGCACTGATTTCCATTTGTTGGAGTGTCATGCTTTCAGGTTTTGAACCCGGACTGGGCACTAAGGCACTATCTTCCTGGTGTTGGGGCGTTGCTCGGCGTTGCGACTCTATTGGCTCGGCACTGAGACATTGTGTACCAAAAAAAAAAAAAAAAAAAAAATTGGGGAGAGCTCCCTCACCGTCAAGCTTGATCGGTGAAATTAATTGCTTTGAATGAACAATTCATTAACACAATCAGACTTCGCACAATAACAAAACCAAGAAAGTCTTACTTGCACGCCACTTAATTCTTAGGTATTTACATGTCTAACACCCAAACATCAATTTTTACTTGTATGCCACCTTGCCTAAGCATAAAAAGGTGTAATTCCTTTTGTTTAAAGTTAAAATGATGGTATTTTTTATCTGATTTGAAAGCTTCTGGTAATATAAATGTAAAAACTAAACTTTGCGATGTTGAGCTCATTGATGGCCTATTTGATGTTTGTCAATTTCACATTCATCTTTTTCTTACATTTTCCTTTTGTAACCTCTCTTTTAGGCTGATGAGAGAGCTGTTCTGAAGCATTTCAACTGGCCGGAGAGGAAAGCTGATGCATTGAGAGAAGCAGCCGTCGAGTACCGGGATATTAAGCAGTTATACGCCGAAGTTTCTTCCATCACCGATGATGCCTCGCAGACCTGTGACATCATTCTGAGAAAAATAGCAAACTTAGTGGAGAGGTTTGTGTCTAACGTAATGTTCGTTTCTCACTGCTGGTTAGTAGATCAATATTTTAATCAATCTTGAGAGGATTAAAATCTAAAATTGTACGTTGTGACAATTGATAAATCTTTCTAAATTCTAATACATTGTTTCCTAAATGAGATTTATCAAAACAGTATGGTTTATAATTTTCAAAAAACTATTTGACATATTTTAAATTTCTATAATTTGTTGGGCTTGGATTGAATACTTCATCGTACAACATATGATTGAAACTTAAATTATGAGAATTTTTTTAGGGTATCTTTGGTTGTAGTGGAGGGATTCGGCGGATATGATTTATTGTTGGGAAATTTTCATACCTAGCACACAATTCTCATGTATTCACACATCTCACACCTAAACTTTCATATTTACATGTATAGCATTTTGGTGCTCTAAACCTATGCATGAAAATGATTTCACTTTTAAAAATCGATAATAGTGCTATTTTTGATGTGATATTAAAGTCTTTAGTGATGTGTGTGTAAATATGAAAGTTTAAGTGTAAGATATGTAAATACATAAAAAGTTGTGTGCTATGATGTAAATGCCCCCTTTGTTTTTTGAAGTGTTAGAAGTAGTGAATTTTGTCCTCATCTGCACGTGATTTTCCCATCTTGGATTTTCAACTTTATTTTTTGGTTGAATTTAAGCTAAATCTTCCCTTTAATTTTGCATGAATGTCATCTTACCAGTTTATTGTCGAAAAAGACCTACATTCAATTTTTTAACTTTATGAACATTTCGACAAAATAGTTAATATTTGAATATTTCTGGAATTAGGTCTGAAAGGAATGTTCAGAGGCTGATCAACTTGAGAGGCATTGTCATGGCTGCTTACCAAGACTGCAAAATTCCAACCGACTGGATGCTTGATTCAGGAATGATTAACCTGGTATTTAACCTTGCAATATATATATATAAAATAGAAATAATAATAATATTTTTTTATGGATAGTTACATATAGATCACCCAAAACATTGATATTTACAAATTGACCACCCAGGTGATTTTTTTGAACTACTGAAATGATGTATTTACTTGTGCCACGAACAAATTATTGAGAATTTGATTAAAATGAAAAATATTGGTTGGGGTTTTATCATGAATTTTGATATTTGACTGAGAATTTTAAAAATGTATGAAAGAGAACGGTTGGTTTATAAATAATAAGTTTCGGGTGGTTGTTTGTAATTGTCCCTTTTTTTATTTCACTATTACTTTTATATCTACATTTGTTCTTGAATCGTGCCTCAAAAGATGTGGTAAGTCTCTTAAGTCTTGGATCTTCTTTCATGTCACTCTTTCTTTTCTTCACTCATAGTAAGATTTTGGCCACATTTTACAAAATAGATTTTACTAGTATTAAAAAAAAAAAAGAGAGATGTGGGAACAACTTGAAGGCAAAGGATGACAAATCCATATGTATCTTAGAATAGCGTGGATATTTAGGGTTGTAACCAAGCTGAGCTTAGGTGAGCCCAGTACTTATTCGCGTTCGTCTCATTCAATTTTTTTAAATATAACATAAGAATTAATTTAAACTATTGTTATAATAATATTATTTATTTAATCAATAATTAATTTGAGCTGAAAATTGTCGAACAAGAGTTTGATCGTGTTCGGCTTGTTTATAAATCAAACTAAAAAAATAAAATCGCTTGCTTAACAAATGAATCAAATAAGAGACACCTACTGAGTTAAACAAGAGTCTCTTTTGAAAGCACTATGGATATTAAAACATTATTCTGTTTTTAATTTTTTAATGAAAGCAGATAAAGCTGGCTTGTGTGAGGCTTGCGAAAATTTACATAAAGAGAGTGCTGTCAGAGCTTGAGCTGAACTGGCAGATAGAGAGGAGATCAGCTCAGGAATCTCTCCTTTCTCAAGGTGTCAGATTTGCTTATCGGGTTTATCAGGTAAGTTCTTCTCTCTTCTTCACAAGCTCACTAAATAATTTTTCATTCTAATTTATTTTCTTCATAACATAAATTGATCATATTAACTATGTTTAATTTAAGTTTCTATTTTAGCACTAGATAATCTCATAATTTATGTAATTTCTATTATTTTGACACCATTTTAGTAGAAAGTAGCTTATTGATTCACATATTTATAAAGTAGTCAAATAGAATTATATTTTGGAAGATTCACATATTCTTACTGTATTCACATATTTAACACCTAAACTTTGATTTCTTACATTTATACCACTCAAACCTTTCATATCATGTAAAAATACCTCTATTTTAAATGTTATAAAGTGAAATACATTTTTTCATGCATAGTAAGGTGAGATATATGTAAAAAATGATGTTTAGGTGTGACTGTTGGGATGGAATGAGCACTCGGGTTTTTATTGGTTCACAATCAAAATCATATTGTAGAATATGATCATATAAATTCGAGAAATCCGTAATAAAATAAATCAAACAGAAGCAAGCAATCTATAAAAGCATATCAGGATTTACGTGGAAAACTCCGAGGACGAGAAAAAAATTACATAGCCACACCACAAAAAAATCACTATGAATGGGAGAAATGTACAAAGATACATATTCAGATCAACTCTCTGCAAACACATAAACTTACAAAACTTCGCTCCAAATCCTCCTCTCAATCTCACAAGAGAAAACCCTCATTGAAGTTCTCCTCAACTCTTTTCTGCTTCACGAAAGCCTTGTCAAGAAACACAACACGCCCACGAATCTTCGTTGCTTTACTTGAAGACATAAGAACTGAAAAACAATAGGAGCCGTCCCGGCGGCGTAATAATGTCGAGAAGCAGTGTAATTATTTCGATTGCTCGGTTCCACAAACCCGAGTGTTTCAGGCTCCACTTCAATTCTGTGTCTGTATGTAAATCTACAAATTTGCACAATTTAGTATTGAAAAATTTGTTCCAGTCACATAGTGCTTGAAGAAACAATACTTTTAAAAAATAAGCATGCTTAAGTGCATTTAATTAACTTAATAAACACAAAAAAAGTACTAATATTTCATAATTTCTGAATGAACCCTCAATTCTCTGTGGCAGTTTGTTGGAGGATTGGATCCTGAAACAATGCGAGTCTTTGAGGAGCTGAGAAGCCGAGTTCAGTGGAGGGAGTCCAGAGATATGATGCAAAATCAAATTTTTGGCAATTAGTGCCAAATTCATTTTTAATTTTCCATTTATTTCAATTTCAGGGATTTATTTTTCACGGATAATTGGAAAATGTTCCCTTCTGAACCTTTAATAGGGATAATATTTGCGTACATAAGACGTACACATCGCTGCGTACGTCAGGGGTTATTCAGGAGGTAAATGGGGGTTATATCCAGGTTATATCCCCTGTAACCTCCGTGTAACTCCCTTGTAACTTCTGTGTAACTTATTTGTACTCATGAAACTACAGAAGCGCGGAACCCGTTTGTAGGTTACATGTAGTTTACAAAGAGGTTACAATGGGGTTACAGAGGGGTGTACCCCGATATAACCCCCTGTACCCCCTGAATAACCCCTGGACGTACGCAGCACTGCGTACGTCTTCTGAACCTTTAATAGATGGAAGGAATAAATTTATATTCTTCTTAGGACCTATAAGCAAAATATTCCTTATTATCCACAAGAGATGTTTGAGGGGGTTCATATTCTGTCTTATAGATGCTTCAGGGATATGTTATAATGTAAGGATGAACAATTACAAATGTTATCACGATTAGTAATAAATGGTGTATTATATTTTGCTTTGGTATTATGCTTTTTTCAGGGAAATTTACATACATACCATGCAATTCTTATGTATTCACATAGCTAACACAATTTATGTTTATAATAATGATGTCATAAATCTATGTATAAAAAAGGTGCATTTCATTTTTAAAAATATCATGATGAATGATGAAATTTTGATGTGATTTTAAAGAATGGGTGTATGTATGTAATTGTGAATGTTTAGGTGTTAGATATGTAAATCGGTAAGAATTGTGAGGTATATATGTAAATGTCTTAGTTTTTTTTTTTTATTCTATATATGTTATAAAAAATGCATACCTTCAGCATACGTATCACTGCATTTCTTATGTATTTAGATGACTAATACCTAAATTTTAAAATTCATCTAACTTGCCAGGATCAAATCACATTATATAAAAAAAATTTCTTTTATTTTAGATTATTTATTTAAACTAAAAATTTGTTGATATTTATATGAAATATAAATGACATAAAACAATGATCATAATATAATTCCTTGAATTTAGCCACGACAACAACAAAAACAAAATGTTAGTCATGGTTTTTTTTTTTTTTGGTATGATTTTGAGGCTAGGGTGTCATGTGGATAAATATAAGTATTTAGATGTTAAATATATTAATATATAATATTTAGTGGCAAATATATATATATATATATTTTTTATTGTCATAATTCTCCTAAATTCCCCAGCGGAGCTGGGTTCTCAAATATTTAAACACATGACACGGGCTCTCAACATGGGTCAAGTGTGAGAAATCGGTATTTGAGCCTCATAAATGTACAATTACTTTCAAATATATATATATATATATATATATATTCCTCATATTTATATCCTCACTTAGATATACACTTCATAAATGTACAATAAGTATACTATATATAAATAAGATGATTTCTATTACATCTATGAAAGACAAATAGAACCGTAATCGAGCAGGCAATAAGTATATGACCCAATTACTTGAAATTCGATTGAGAATTTATTTAATGGCCCACTCAACTCAATTTCATGAATTGTATTTGTTTAATCTAAGATTGTCCATGAATCGCACCCAAATAATAAAGCATAAATGAGGAGGGAGGGAGACAGGGAGGTAGATGAAGCAGGAACATTGTTGTCCCTTCATTAAATGCTCCCATTATTTATAAAAAATGCAGTACAATAATGATATTACATTTTTAGCCCTATTTGGAGAGGTTTCATACATATTTTACAAGAGAACTTATCATCCGGTTGCCTTTTGGCTCGATCGACTAAGCTTAGTTGATTCGGTTCGACTAGGCCAACTCGGTTGACTATGTTCAATCTTTGGTAAGGAGCCGTTGGGCCTCGGTTGGATGGTTGAGGATAGTTTGTGGAACTGACTCCTTTGGGTTTCCTCCACTACGGCATAGGCTGCTGCATCAAATCTCTTTTCTTGCAGTTGACGGTTAGGTCACTTTCTTGTCTTGTATCTGGTTGAATGGCTTATACTTGGATTGCTTGGTCATTTTCTTGCTTGCCTTTTGACCCAGTCGGCTTTTGCTTATTTAACTTCTCTTTTCTGATTTGCTGGGCCTTTTGATCTCATTGCAGAGGATATGCCTCCACTGTATTCTTCTCTTATGGACCGTTGAATATCTATAAGATCAATGCATACATCTTTTTGATGTACATATTTTTATTCTTTGATTTTCTTACTTCTTGAAAACAATGTTTCAATAAGAATAAAAGAATTAAATGCACAAAGTATATCTAATTAAATTTTAATTAATGACTCATTGATTGAACTATCTTGATTTTAGAGTCTCTGATTCTTATAAATATGACAATAGGTCCCTTTCACATGCCTACTTTGCTCCATTTTTGGAAATAAAAAAGATGGGACAACTCAATGGATGAAAAAAGGAAGAAACGCGCCATGAAGATGAAAAAGATTGCACTCCCACCGCTAGACCAGGTGGGGTTGTTTGATTCATTCTTCAAGAAAGTTTAGAGGAATGTTCAGCCGACCGACTTCATCCTCGTTCAAACATACAACTTCTTGTTGTTGTTTAATGCCCTTCGATCGATCAATCTGCTCAAGTGGCTTCTTGCGTACTTTCCTCGGTGCTCCTTGGTGAGCTTACCTTTTCACTTACAATATTTGAGTTGATTCGGTTCTTGGGTATGAGGGACCTTTGTCTTGCATTTGCAGAGTCTGATCTTTTGGATTAAGATTTGAAGACTTTTCTATTTACAATGACTTTTGGTGCATATGATCCATCTTCGTTAAGCCTAGATGAGGTTCCGACCGAGCCACCAGTGATCGCAGACCAGACCTGATGTAAGGGCGACTGGCTCTCAAGCGAGGATGGTGGAGACAATCGCCCCAACAATCCTCCACTTCCCTTGGAGACAAGCGAGGAAGCTGTCGAAGGGGCCCAGATGTCCCATACATCATAAGTTTGTCATTTAGAAGAGCTGAAAGTCGGTAGAGATCCAGCGAAGTGAGGAGATGAGAAAGCTATTCACTCCTATAGAGAATGTGGATGATACTGTGATGACTCTTCATTAGGAGTTGCCTAATGCTCGTGAGAGATCTCAAATGTGTCAGGTCTAGGCCGAGTTAGATTGACTGCTTCAATTGAGGTATATCTAGGCCAAAGCAGTGTCAAATTCTCTTGTGAGATACTTTCATCGAATTGATCTCTGAGTGCCCTTTTGTGAGCTGAATGTCATTTCTAGAATGAAAAATATTTTATTTGCCTTTTTTTTTTCAATTTGCTTCTGTTGATGCCCCCTTACGGAAACGACTGGTTTATTTTGATTTTACACCTATAAAACGGCTAGACTTCCTCCTTCCTCCTTATATATATAAATGAGATCCGAGAAGGGACAAGCTATAACTCTTGCCAATTCCTGGCCGACCATTGAGGGATTCCTAGCATTATTTGTTAGGGACAAGGCTATCCATCCCATTACTAACTCAAATTGATCTTCTACGAGGATGCCATAGTAGCATCATGGGAACCGTCTAGCAGAACCATCGATGGAATGCCTTTGGTGATTGAATTGAGCAAGCTACGCCCTTTGAGTTTGCCTTGATACATGTTCAAAAAGGCTGGAATTCTGGTTCTTGGGCTGCTGCTAGATACCCCTCTACGATGGCTAAGGTGATGTGGTCTCTGACCCTGGAGGAGGCTTTATTAGAACAAGGTTAAACCGATCTGAGTCATATGACTGCCATATATCACTTAACAACCTGACAAGCATCTCATACTCATTCAATCATTTTTTGTCGGGAGTGCCGGGCTAGCTGAAGCTCAAGAAAAAGCTGGCGGGGGTAGAGGAAAAAATTGAAGAAAGTAGAGGGGATCGGGCTCATTTTGAAAGAAGAAAACCGAGCCTTGAAGGGCCGTTTGGCTATAAGGAGGATTCTCAATGAGTTTTTCGTCGAGCTTTCTTACTATTAAGTAAGAAAGGCTATTCTTGTAGAGAAATTCTAGGAGAGGGTCTTGTATGGTGTTGGTCACAGGAGCAAGACTCACCTAGTAACCTCCGACTGGGTTAATATGGAGGAATTTTCTACATTTGTGACCAACTTAGAGAGTTAGGAGTCCAACTGAGGCAGCGAGAATGATAAAGATGACGAAGATTTGTCAAATTTGTAGATCATTTATGATTGTTGTTTGAAAAAAAAAAAATATAATTTTTTTAAGAATATTGTAGATTAATTTTTATAAACCAATTGATAAGTTATGAATGAAGGATAGAAATGCTTTTTTAGTCGGTCCTATTTTGGAGTTTTTTCTTTCTTCTTTTTTAGAACCCAAGCCAAGTGGTCATTGTGGTGAGGAGAGTTTGCATGACCGTAGTAAATGCCGAACGGACAATGAGTGAACAAAATTTATTTGGGAGTCAAGATAGTTGGCACGGCCCAAAATCCAGTTAATCTGAAGAGTGAATAGAGTTTGAATAGATAAATAGGATTATAAAGAGTTCGTGACTTGTTTGATGTCCTATCTTCTGACAAAAACCTTACACCAACCATGTATCCATTGCTCAGTTAACTTGTTGCCTTGGATGGGTCACATCTTATACCAAATATATTAAACGGATCTTGTTGTGGTCTTTACGGAGCTAAACATCTACTCGGGTGATTCATGCACTGCCCCTCATAGATCTTTTCATGAGTGAATAATGAATGAGCACCATAGCTTGACATGTGTTTTGAGATAAGCGACATGGGAATTTTATGATTCATGGGCATTAGGGGTCAAATAATTGGGTGAATTTATGATCAGGTGACTAGCGTCATTTTCGATAAATCTATCTTCTTGAGTGGGAATACCGTTGGTGGATTTACTTGTATTTTCTTAGTGGTTGGACTTGATTACCCTTTACATGAACTTTGACCAAGTTACCTGACTATTAATCGGATTCAATTGCTTCTCGCGTGAACTATAATTGAGTTTCTCGAGTGTTGGTCGGACATGAGATCACACAATGTTAAAAAATTCCACATGCATTGTTCAAATTTGATGAGAAAAAAGAGACACTAGGAATTTAATATTCATTTATCATTACAAAGGTACATAGTTTATGAATAAAATATTTTTAAGTCGACTCCACTCCATGTGCGGAGCACCCTTTTTCATGTATGTCTTTTGCTAGTATTCTCTAAGAGCAACTCATTTGCTGACAATGAACAGTTCAGTCCATGTTTGATCGAGCTTTCCCACCAAATGTCCAAGTACTATTGGGCCAGCTTTCTTTAGCACGAGATCCTCGACGGTGAATATTTTTTCTCATACAGGCTTGTTGTAGTACCAAGCTTTCCTTTTTTTAATCTCCCTTTTTCTTGGGGTTGAGTAGGCTCATTTTTTCTCCATTAAGTCGAGCACAAGTTCTATTCCTTTCTTGTTTGATTCTTTCCACTCGATCATATCTGTCTCATCATACGTGTAGAATGCAATCACCATTTGATTATGAAGATTATATTCGACCAATAGCACGACCTCCATTTTGTGTGATTGCATGGATG